TAAATCGCCCCACAGCCCAATGTTCGTCGTTTGTGAGGGGCGGCGTGAAATAATTAGCCATGATGTTCAGTACGGGCAGAGCTGAGAGAGCAAGAAACGAGAGCAAGATCGAAGCGCATCAGATGAGCGGCCAGAAAGCCATATAGCCATGCAGAGAGACGAGCCTCAAGCCAGATATCATAGCTGAGTGATGGACAGGAAACGATGAAAAATTATGAGCAGCTCCGCATATTGCATGGCTAGAGATAACACGCGCTCACGAATAATGGGCTGCTCGTCATCGCTTTGCTCACAGTATTATCTCTCATTTCATCTCTCGTTCATCTATGGAATCAGTTTACCGGATTCTGCTCCCATTTTGCGAAAGAAACGACTTTTTGCACGTGTTTTCAAGTCATTCTCAATGCGCTCTTCGTTGCCAGTCTGCCTTTACCGTATCCTCGTCATAACGAGGAATATGCCGACAGACGTCGTCTTAGGGCCAGCACTCAATCACTTCGTCACCCGCCCCTCTTTCGGGCTCGCCACTGTTCTTCTTTTCAACGACTTCATAAAAACTCTCTATATCGACACTTAAGCCGTTTTGGTTTGACAAACTTCAATTAAATAATCAGGAAGCTAGACTGACGCAGGAATTTTTTTGAGTCTTTTTGATTTAATTCTTTAATTCTTGAAATTTCATATCACTTCTACAGCGCGAGGCAAATATAGTATTCATGTTATCTTGTGCCTAAAACAACTTATTGGAGCTAAAGAGCACTGAATTAATAGTGTATAACAAGATGTGTTCCTCTTTTAACTTAATCATAACCAAAATCTGAGCTTTTACATTCTAATGATTTCATAGACCAAATGGGAAAAGGATTACTGGTGTAAGACATTTTTTGACTCGTAAATGTCTTCCAATGTAAGTATTTTAGCAGGCAAAACAAGTTCGTGGCATAGAAACTTCGCGTCGATTTTTTCCAGGCACGAGATATTATTACCAACATTTTTGTGCATTCACAATACAATTCCAAATCATAAGAAAAAGTTTGACGAGAAGTTTCCTTGGACAAGTAAGTGACATAAGGTGCAATGTGACGTTCCCAACCATATTGGTATTTGAAAAAAATATGGGATACGTAAGTCAGATTTTTACAATAGCATTTATGCAAAAAAAATCTTTTGAAGACTGGTTAGCAAAAAATAATTTGTGAATAAATTACGCCAATTTGTGCGTCACCATAGCTTTGTGAGAGAGCTCATAGAAAATTGAGTCTTTTCTAAAACCTTTTGCTCCACTTATTCTTTTCTATTTATGCACTTTGACACATTCATTTATTTATCTCGACGCCTGCCCCAAAAGTGCTCTACTTTCTATTTGTCCATTTGGATCGGACATTATATTCTGCTCATGCAGCGACTGTTTTGTAGATTATAAACTCTGGGTCATTGTGAATCTTCCTCCATGAGCCCACTCCAAATCACAATCACCAAGAGCTCATTTCGAACGAGAATTCTTCACCTGCCCGTCCCCGGGTTTTTGCCGGCGTCTTCGTCCCGCGCTTGAACGAGCTGCAATGGCGGACGCGTCAAGTGATGAGCGAGAATTAATAAGAAATGAACGAGTACCGTATTCCTTCCGTGGCTGGCCGGCTTGGCACGGGCACATCGCTGCTAGAGAGAGAGCTATGGAGAGTGTAGACGCATCGATTCACATATTGCATAACTGCTCGCGCTTAGTAGTTGTGTCTGCGTCTCGTCGAATTAAGTCATGTTTTGGAAGATGGAAGTCGGATTGTGAAGAAATTCTGGGAGAATCTGCTTTGGGAAGATGTTTGAGAGCTTTTGGGAACAGTGAAGGGGCTAGAGAGAGTACAAACAGTTCCAGAGAGGTTCTAGGCTTCTTACGCAGCACCCTTAGAACTGCCACTACATGGACCATTCACTCGCTCTTGAAGTAGAACTCTTAAGGAACTCTTTAACATTTCTCTTCCCCTTCGCTTTTTCCTCGAAAAAAAAAACCGCAGCATTTATTCCTTCTAAAGTGCGTTAGTCGCTAGCGCGGCGGCGGCAGAGCTGCTCTGTGTGGCTGCTTGGCTTTAATGGGTTCTCATAAAGCGCCCGGATATCTTTTTATTTATAGTTTTGATTGGCGGGTTTCCCGGACGCGGCCGAAGCGCCACACATCTGCGGGTAATATCAAGCATTTCACGTTTTAATCAGCTCTTCCTAATTTCAACCCATTTCGTCACTCAACCGCTGCTCCTAGAGGAAATGAATTTGTAAAGGCGAGCGAAGAATTCTTGGAGTGAATTCAAATAAAGAAAACATGTCAAAAAACAACTCAAAATATTTTCTTTTAGACTACCATTGACGAGAAGGCTCATTTAACCGATTTTTAGCCAAAAAATTCCGCAAACTTTTTACGTTATTTTGAGAAACCGTGGGCTCCTGGATGCTGGCCTAAATGGTCTTCACCATAGGTCTTGCTTTACAGGGTTTTATCAACTGTTGCCCGATGTTTTGAAAAAATCATGTACTTTATTCATTCCATTCCGTTTTGCCTTTTGCATCATACCTTCCATGTCAAAGCCCTAGCGGTGTCTTAATTTGGGCGCTAGAACATTTTATGAACTCCGAAATAGTAGTTTTGCGAGAATAAGCCAGGTATTCCAAAGCTAGGGATTTCAAAGCAGCACTAGACCCTGGGTCACACTCACTTTGTAACGATAGCTGTAATTCTGTATTTTATGGCTTTGTTTTTGAATAGTACGACTGCACAGATTTATAGATCAAAAACAAAATGTGTACGAGTTTTTGAGATTTTCTAACTAATCACTCTGAAGTGAAGTTAGTCTAGCTGATTACTAACTTTAAAAAAACTTAGATAGATTTTCCTTGAGGTACGATCGTGATCCCTTCGACAGTTTTCTGCCCGAGCTTTTTCGTTCAGTTCGCAGTTGTGGAAAATGACGTATCGCACTGTAAGATCGATAATTGTTGGTTTTCTGTTTGAAGAAAGGGGCCAAGCGACCACAACAAACTCATTCAACATCATGTCACAAATAACACCTTGCCCGGAGCATCTTCGACCAAGCGCCATTTACCCCTCATAGATACCAACATTGGCTATAGGTGGTGAAGCAGAAGTGATGTGCGCAGCCGAAATCAGCAGTCGCGCAAGCAGTTTGTTTGATGGCAATTGATCGAGTCTGGAATGCGAACCCTAGTGCGGCTTCATATGGGGTGAGCAGTGCGAGGAGGGGCTGTTAGTTGAGAATCTGCACAAGGAGGTAAACAATTTCGGTTCATTTCCCTCGCGCAAATAGTGTGCAGAAATGAGACGAGCGCTACAGCGAAGTGAGACGTTGTTTCTGTCCCTCTTGGACAACTGTAGAGTGAAGATCCAAAATAGGCGCAAAAGTCCCTGACTGAAGCAGCGGGTTGAGCATAAAATCGTCCATGCAGAGGTTTGCTGCAATTCCACCTCGACTCGTTGTTCCCATTTGTAGGCGCCCGTGTCCTTGATGTCTGCCGCGATTTCGACAATAATTTCTGCATAATCCCTCCTAATTTCTTCGCTGCATAAGGTGTCCTTTGTAACGCGGGCGATTAAAAATTCCTCCGCCTCCCCGTGGTCATGACTCGGGGGGCGAAGAGAGCGCGCCGAAGGCGGAGGCCGAGAGGTGCGATGTGCTGCCCGGTCGCTCCGCCCTTTTGATAATTTCTTGCTTTTTGCCGACGGCTCATCCGCGCGTCCGCTGCGCTTTCGGATTGAGTCCCTCACCTCTTTGCAGTCGTGTCAGCGGCTTGAGTTGTGACTGTCAACTGTCAATTGTCATCATCACCCTGTCACAGTGCAGCCGGGGTTCATCGCGACGCTGTCAAGTGTGTTCAATCGATGTTTATGAGCTTGTTGATGGTTTGTCAGTCTGACACTGACGGCGTTGTGTTACGGTACCAGTGTTCCTCAAAGCACCGCACCAGTTCCTACACACAGCCCCATGAACGGTGCGAGCGCGTGTGCAATTATCCGCCGATTCCGTTTTTATGTGCATGTTCTGACGATTCACCGCGTCGCAACAGGGCCCGGTACTGTAGGTCTCAGGCTATTCTGGTGTCGGGCCAGAAGATGACGCATTTGTCACGACAAGCTGCGACCTCTGGTCGTGAAAAATCCCGAAGTGGCGGGACTATTTTGATACATTTCATATTTTGATCTTATCTTTGCGCACCGGTCGTATTTGCGTGTGTGTGACCTCGCCGGGAGAACTAGAGAACTGGCCGCACAACCAGCTGCGAAGCTGTAAGCCCCAACACTTCAAGAATGTGTGTTCCCCATTCCAAATCTGCACTGTGCTGCCTCACACAAGTCCCCAGTGCATGCCCAAATGCGACTTGTTTTATAAGGTCATTACTTGTTCTCGTGTCGGCTATGCTGCTCTCGAAATAAAATTGGCATCCGAGTGATTGAGTACGTCCTATCCAAGCTGCATTATATGTATGAGTGGGGAAGTCCCCTGAGGCGAGCTGCATAGCTACCGTATACTCTATAGAGCCGGCGACATTTCCCTAGCCGTCATTTCGAGATGTATCAAAATTCTATTTACTGTCTCATAAGAGCATTGTGCAGAGTGTGTTGCTGATTGAAATCTCAAATCTTATAGTTACTTGTTGTGCACGCCACATTGCCTCATTTTAGCTTCGGGAGAACATCTGCTTGGGTTATATTTTTGCGCAATTCCAATTCGAGATAAGAAGCTTTAGACAGAATTTTGCGACACTCTCTCTGATTAGGATATTCTCAAAAACACCTCCAGATCATATATTTCCTGTCTTTGTGAGCCTGAAATCCAAATCACTAAAGTTACCTTTTATTTTTTTGTATCCGAGATTTTATGGGTTTGAGCTTCTGCTTATCGCGTCAAGTAGCCGCTGCCAGCGCCGGCGCAGCTCGGCTCTTCATTGCGCCTCACCACTTTACACACTATCTATGTGACTCTTCTCCGGGCCCATCAACCGACTTTTATGACTTTTGTAAAACTCTGCGCAACATCGTCGTCGCTGTGTTGCACTGGGCTGAGGTTGCCATTTCGTTCGGTAGATGCAGCGAGGTGATAAGTCTTCGGCGACGAGTCGTTGGCAGCGGCGGCGCTGCGACGGCGCTTCTCGCCGTTCACGAAAGCTCGGGCGCTTCGAGGCGCTCGCTCGTGTTCGTGTGCGCTGCTAGCACAAGCGCCGCGCGAGAGCAGCGAATTCTAAAAGAATAAAAGAGCGCAGTACAAATATTGTGATTATGCGCGACCCTCTCGTCTCTCACGGGCCGAGGCGTAAAGACAAGCTCAAACATACCAGCCCGAGAGTGAAGTTCTTCTCGTCGTACCTCGTACCTCCTCGTCCACTCTCTGGCGCTGCGGCGCTCATCCCTCTCGCACTGGGCTCATGCCCTTTATGGAATGAGACCGAAGGCCTCCTTCAGCCGTCTTCTTTCTTCTTCTTTCAACCTCTGTGTGATTCCCCTCGCAAAGTTCATCTCGTACTTTCTCGACGAGGGGCGGCGCTTCGGTATGTCGTCGTCGTTTTTGGCGCTGATTATGAGTTCGTTCGTCCCCCACACGACAGACAGCGCATGACAGTCGCTCCATCACCGGTACAAGACGGCCTGTGATCGATAGCGCTCGGGCTTTTCGTTTTTTGATCTACTCTCTGGTCATTCTCTGATTTCAGTGATGACATTTCCTGCACTGGTGGGGGTGACTGACTTTGCAGCTTTGCGCTAATTGTAGACAGTATCTCGGTTTGCGTCATCTAATCTCTCGCCCACATCTATATCTCCTCACTCGTTTTGCTTTTTTCTGTGTTTCATAATAAAACTGGCTAAAATAGACTTTTTGCTATGAAAAATCAAATCTTAAGCGCATAATTAATCACTTTTTATTTTCGTGAGGTTTTTCGATCAGCCGCAAAGACAAATACCATAAATTGTTCCAGAAATTTCTTTTTGAGCGCATATTTTCTACTTTCTGAACTCGTCAGAATCCTTAGCCATCCGTTTATTCTTCTTTCCACAGCTTCTTTTGGTTCAAGACCTGATTTATGTTTACTGCTTGACATGCAACAGTATCAATTTACAACGCTGACTCGCTGATATTATCTTCCCTCCACCTGATCTGTTGTTTAATGAAACAAATAAATCAACTTTGAATAGTGCTAGTCCTTTATGAGCTTTTTGCTCTATTTGTTACAGCTATCAGTTGATTCTGAATGCATGTTCCTCACATTTTTTCTTCAACTGTAATGATAAGTTTTTGCGCGAAATTCTCCGTAAAGTTCGTTTCCGAGGGGCTATTCTACCTCATCTGAACGCGAAAAACCTCTCTAAATTAAGAACAGTTGCAAATTGTGCCGGTTTTCCGTCAAAGAAGCGATAAGCGCGGTGTTTTTCGAGGCGAAACCACTTGATGTACATGTCGTTTGTCACCCGCACTGGCACATTGCAAACGTTTATGTTTGCCAATCTCTCAGTTTTTTTCCTAACGGTTCGCGTTATGATTTGCCGCGGCGCTTTTGCTTGTTCTAGCTCGCACTCGCAGTTGCCGCCGCGAGTGCGCTCCGCTGTGCTCGATCATTCGTGTGCCGTCGTCGTTTCCGCGTGTTCGACCGCGTTCACGGCCGCAGGCTGCGTTTCGTTTCGTTTCAGTCCATGTTCGATGGCGTCGACGTTGGGTCTGGTGTCGCGACGTAAGCAGGCCAAGCCACAACGCCACCAGGATCTGCCGAAGGGTCAGTCAGAGTCGAGAGCTGTGCAGAGTGTGTGTTTCGCCCCGCCAGTGCGCTGCACCCGTGTGTTGCGTCTCATCATAATGTACATAACTTGCATTAGACAAAGGCCGCCCGACCTTGGGAGCTCGTTAACAACTTTACGCTTCAAATCGCTCCGCGTGCCCTGCGCAAGAACCCTCGCGAAAGGACATTCCGCGGGGCGCCCGCGCTCCTCGCGGCCACGTTGCGAATATTACCGTAATCACGCCAGCCACTCGTCATGCGCTTATTATCGTCGGCTCCGCCCCCGTGGCTTATCCAATCATACACAACGCCTCGGGCATAGCACAGCCGGCGGCGAGAGTGCGTGCGAGCCGCGGGCGCGCAGACACCGCGCCGCGCATCTGCGAATTAATCTGATTTCGTGATTGAAACAATGTCATGATGCTTGCTAAGTAATGTCGCATTTCGGGGCACTATAGCAGGGAACGCGCACAGCGCAGCATGTTTACGCTACACAAACTCGATCATTTTCGTATTTTCACTCAGGATAAAGTATCTAGCAGGTTAAACTAACTGGGTTTCATGTGTCTCACAATCTTCCTATAACCTAACTGAATATTTTTATCCATTTGTTCTGAATCTTCCCATTTTTGTCTCAAGATCCAGTAAAGTTTGGTTGTAAAGCGGGTTTACTTTCAAGGTTTTATGCAACAAAAATATGTTTTTTCAGAAACTCTCTTATATTACATTTCTACCCTTGATATAAATATAACATAAATTTGTCGAATCAAATTGTAACTTACGCAACTCTAACACAGCTAAGTTCATTGCAGCTAAATCTCAATTGAACTTTGTTTTGAGTTAAACTCTTTCCGCTAAGCACTTTGTCCGTGTCATTTCATAAATGTCGCACTTTCACGTCACGTTGTCAGCGTCTCTTTTTCCTCGTTTATCTCGATGTGTTTACCCAAGAGTCGGATGCTATTTCTTCATCGGATAAGCCGACCGCAACCCTCTCAGCGATCATTTATTTTCTTATAATATCGAATTGCAAGAAGTACAGCTGTAACTCGCGGGCATCCGTGTGCGTGCCGAGATTGATGTGCCTGTAGCTGAATGCCATTCTCCACTCATCTGTCAACTAAAATCGGTAGGGGGGGGGGGGGACGGGGTGCACGTGAGGAGTGCCTCCTCGCTGTTTACCGTGCTGTCCGCGCGCGTTATGAGTTGATGCGCATCTCGCGCGCGAACCGGCGATGCCAATGTCGACACAATGTTTCAGTTATAAAGCGAAGATGTCTATCTACAGCGCCGACCCGAAAATGGCATGTTTCGACAGACGCACGGCGAAATCGCGCTGACACATCGTGTCGCTTTTTCGCACGCCTCTGGTCTGCGCCGCCGGTGCGACGCGACTTCGCGCCGTCGTCGCGCTGCTCCTCAAAAAGCCACCTCAAAGTGACCTCGATGAGTGCTCGCGCCCAGTTGCGAATGCGTAATCGTGGCTAATCGCGCGACTCCGTTGCAAATCGCCCTGCTGAGGTCGCGCCATCAGTGCTGCCTCGAATCGATGGCGGAAACACCGTCGTGTGACGCCTGTCCATACCGTTTCGAGCGAAGACGCACAAACGGGCTCAGCGCTTGATAATTTGATATGACAACTGGTATCATTCGATCATTCCACCCGTCAGCCACTGATGTGTCTCGTAGTTAATATGTCACGAACAAGGCGTGTGCGCGGCCATTCTCAGCATAACAATTCGTTCTATGAGCGCTATCAACATTTTCGAACAAGCGATGCTTTTCGCAATGACGCGACACTTTTGCGCATGATCAAGGGTCGGTTATGATGAAATCATGATTGAGTGGCGGTGTTTTCTTTTCAATGAGGGTTCTTGCTAGTGCAGCTGTTGGTTTGTTGTTCGCGTATGTTACTACTACCAGATGAACGCAAAAAGATTTTGCTGTGAGCTGACTTTCTTATTTAGAACATTCTTTTATCAATCGGCGGTGAACGCGAGGGGCCACAAGCAAAAACCGTTCTGTAGCTTCAAAACCGTTGCTCTATAAAGGAGATGATTCATACTTGTCTGGTGTATTAGGTCCTATCAAGAATTTTGATATCTCTAACTAGATCTACAAACTTAATTCTTATAAGCACATGATCTATTTTGAAAAGACTTAAAGTTTGTCCGATTATAATTGCTGACATTTTTTTTACAAATTATGCAAATCTTCGCGTTAGAAGTGGCTTTGTCAAAGGCTGTAGTTCACCACATCTTTTCACAAATTTTAAGACCTATAGGTATTCTAAGGGGACCATTCATATCTGCCCCCTTGTTCTTATGTATTATTCCAAATTTGCTACATCAGAATGAATTACTCCAATGCTACAGCAGGCCCTGCCCATGCTTCTCACCCCCCCCCCTATGTGACATTCTCCAGCAATAATAGGCGTTGTATTCTACGAGAATGTGAAGTCTCGATTTGATGCGGAGATTGTGCTACTGCTCACAAACTGCTCTCGTTGTCTCTTACTAAGTGGAGAGGAGTTCCTTTGGGACACACCGACAATTCCGAAGCGAAGCCGCTGCGAATTCGAATGTGATTATGCCAACAGCCCCCATAGTCATTAGGGCCAGTTGTGGTGCGAGAGCGAAGAGGAGCATGAGCATGATTTGAGCACAACGACGACGACGACGGCGATCCTCTCTCTCTCAACGATAATTGCTTTTTGTTCATGCAACGGCGGGGCATTACGGTTAAATGTCTTCCGCGATGTCACATTTTATTCAGAGTTTCTTAGATAACAGCCCACTGTCAAAAATGTCATTTAATTATCGTATTTTTATCAAATTAATGGTGTAAAATGCTTTGTCAACATCGAATTGTGCGAGACCAACGGTGTTTTCTACTTGAGCTCTTGATTATCACTTTTGCCCCACCAAAAAAATCTCAGCCTCTTTTTTACCTGTCCCACAATCTGTTCATCATACTCCTCCATACTTTCTTTCCTCTTTCCAACTAAATATTTCCCTTTCCCATCCTCTTCCCAAGCCCTATGTGTCCTCGCGCCGAGCAGTTATGGCGGCTGGCTCATAATCGCCCCGATGCTGATTGGTTGCCGGGTACGGTAATAACCAATATCGCGAGGCAAATATGTCCGCACGGACACGCCTCCTTATGAATAGGGACGGATTACTGTAAGTGTGCACTCCTTCAGCTCATCATCATCGCTCTGCTGCCTATGTAGAGTTCATGCCATTGATTTTGTTTTGAAGTTAGGCTGTTTTTGGTCTATGAGATAGAAGATTTCAAATTTGATTTCCTTTGTTTGAGCTAAGATGTCTAGGACTTCTGTTCTATTCTAGCCTGCTTTATGACTTGGATCTTGTGCGGAATGATCTTATTTTATTCAGTCTTTTTTATCTAGTTAGGATCTCTCTCTCGTTTATTTATTGGCGGCAAAAAAAAGTACGGGCTATAAAGGCTATAGTCTCTGCTAATTTAGCAAAACTTGTGTTGGACTAATCTGCGTATATGATTACTATTTGACTTTCCTGAATGGGACTTTTCGCCTCTCAGAACCCCCCCCCCCCTCCCTCCTTTCTTTTCTCAGACGTCTTCTCAGCCATGAATTACGAACGTTTGCGCACGATAAGAGGGCGAAGGAGCACCTGCACCGCACGTCTAATCCGTTCCTCTTCATAATGCCTCTTCTTTCAACACAATTCGATAAAGTGCAATGTCGTTTTTGCTTGGAAGAACATGCGGGACGAGGTGAACCTGCGAGAAGACATTTAGGGACTACGCGGCGCGTTATTCCCGAACTGATTCCTAGCACCGGGGTTAAGTCGGCTATGATAATTCGAGATGTGTGACACGACTGGATCTGCCTGAACGCAACCATTAAGCCGCTATCGATTCTCTGTAGTTTATGCTTCTGCAGCCGCTCATTTCGTGATGAATCGCCTTGTCTGCTGCGCCTCATCTTTCGCCAAGCCTCTGCCGGCTCCCCAACCTACTCGCTATCTCTCCACTCTTTCGCTGATTCCTTTATGATTAATTCGCTAGCTGGTCGTGGGGAAGCAACTGCTTCCGAGCTATTCCCGCCGACGATCATAACTTTTTATTACCTGCAGTGATTGTCAGCACTCTCCGCTTATCGCCCACTCCCTGCCCCGGCCCCGCTCTCTGCCCCGTACCCTTTCCCCGTGCTGCTTCGTTTAATGGTGTTTGGGCGAAGCGCCGCGGTATTATATTTTGTGTTGCGATGTTGGCGAATTATTAGTTGAGGCAACTGGTTGGCGAACCCATAAAATTCCGAAGAATGGGAGTTTTTGAGGCCGTCCTAGTGTTGCGTTTCGCTTTGAAGGGGAATACGATTCACATTTGAAGAAAATGGTGTATTTTTTCGATATATGGAATGAGAAACGTCTATTTGAATAGGAAATGGGAATATCCTCGAGATTCAGATTTTATCTAGTGTGAAACATGAACGTTCATTATTTATTTCATATCGGTTGGAGACGTCTGGGCTTTCTGAAGAACCCAATCCTCCAAAATAAAAAGGTATTCTTCTAGGAGTTGATATTTGCGAAATTCGAAAATATTTGCTGGACTGAACTTAAGAAGTGAGACTACTGTAAGAAACCTTTACATTTTCAAGACTTTAACGATGGACTTGAAGTCTTTTTGGCATTATAGTTCAAGGGATGTAAAGTTGGTTTTCTCGTCAAATTCTAGAGTTCTATCTGCGTACTGTTAGTTATTGCGTGATATTCTAGCTATTCTTTTCCGTTTTTTTTCAACATAGTCACTAAAATTACGGCATACCTTTTTAAGCTTTCCAAGATTGGTAGTTCCTTTCTTTATTGTCAGTAACAATTAACAATCAGCTCGGTCTACGTTCGACGGAAATCGCCTTTTTCAAGACCTGAAAACGAGTCAACGTCTGCAGTAATTCACTCAAAGAGTAGACATACCTTGGTAGGTCTACCCTTGGAGTGATTGTTGGGTGTTACTGACAATAAAGGAAGGAACTACCAATCTTGGAAAGCTCAACAACATAAACCGTAATTGACACTATGCCAAGATTCATAAATAGTCGAAACAGTCGTGGAATAGTCACTAAAGTGTTTATCGATAATAATTGTATCCCCGATCATAGAACTTTTTAGAAAGTTCTGTTCAAGAATAGTCTTACTGTGCAAAATCTGCGGTCCTTATCACGGAGTTTTGGTGATGAAGCGCTAGTCGCATAAAAGAGAAGCGACCCCTAATCTCTTGAGTTTTATACATCTTTGTAAGTCCCATTCCCCCCCCCTCCCTCCCCCTTTCTCCATCCCTCCCGAAATCTCGTTTTCTTTATCCTTATAAGGGTCGTATATCGTTCCAGCAGATTCCAACCGTGTCTAGCGCCCGCACCTCCTAACCTCCATAAGGACAACGTGTTACGGTAGTTGCGCTGGCGCGCGGGAGGGACGGATGGAATGTGTGTATTTTTGCGAGCGGATGACCACACTGAGGTAATTGAATGCTGTCTGTGTGTGTGTGTGAGAGTGAGGAGAAATCGCGGACGGGGCGTCGGAGTGAAAATGAATGAATAAAGGCACGAGTAGTTCGACAAACATACCACCACTAGCAGCTCGGCTGTGTACGGCCGTAGCGCTTCTATTCGTAGGTCGGACACGGTTGAGTCACCAGGGAACTGCTAACATTCGCTGATTCAGCAGCTTATCGAAGAATTTTTCAGTTCATTATGTGGGGGTGGCTGAAATGTGCGCAAAAGAAGTAGATGTTTGGAAAATTCGCGGAATTATTTTCAAGCAATCGAAAATGTTGTCAGAAACCTTTTTCATGCTCAGTACTCTAAGATTTTCAACGTGAAGACAGAACCAAGGCAAAAATGCATTAGTTTACAGAAATCAAGAAATTGCTCTAATGATTTTGAGCTGACAAAAATTAATAGTTATCGTTTGGAGTGCTTATCATCAAAAACAGTGAAAATTTGAAAAACTTTCAAAGCCTCTGAATTCCAAAAATTAGTTTCCAAAATGGATGTTCTTGGATATTACGGTAGATAATAACAACACTCTTTATCATGCATTTTTCGAAATTCTTGCATATCAGTGGAGCGGAATAGATTGTTAAAGACTTCGCAGAGCTAGGCAATCGATTTTGATCCTTGGATCTCAAGATTGCTAAAAACTTTATATTTCCCAGTCTTGGGTGTCATTCATGTAATGTACTGAAAAAATCATCTTCTTCATTTGTTGAAAAATATATTTTCTCCAAAATGTGAAATAAATAAGATTGTATGGCTGTGCTGCGTAATACAAAATGGCCACAGCGGCTTCAGATTTGCCTTTGTTGGACATTGATATAGTTTCTTCTATCCTTTATGATCAGTAATACATTGATTAGATGAGGTAACACAGTTTAGCAATTAAGACAAAAAAAACTGTGCTCATTGCAACTTTTACTTCGAAAAGAAAAAACAACAAAACAACTATTTCCTCAAAGTTCGAATCTCTCTTCAAAATTTTGAACGATCGAATATCAAACACTTTTATTCCAACTTTAACTTCCTTCTTATACTTGAAATTGAGAGTAAACAATAGATTTTTTTTGCCTCAAATGAGAAACAGATGTTGTGTTGTTGCGTCGGCCAACGAACACTTGACATAAAGCTCTAAACGTCCCCACAGTCAACTTCGTTGTCGATTCAGTTCACTGCAGTTTGCGAAATAGCTCAACTCAATGATCGAAAACACCATATCCGGTTTTTATAACGACTATGATACCGTATGACAATGTGGCGCTTATTACGTCAATAGCGAGAACGTCTATGAGTTTTAAGATGTTATCATCAGGCATGTAACTGCCATGTTTTTCACATTCGGTGGGTCTTTATAATTCACTCAATAACAGAATCTTGGCAAAAAAAAAACGATAGAAGGAGGATTTTACACAATTCTGGACAACGATGTTGAAAGCTTTTGAAGAAACTCGAGGTAACCAAAATCACCATACAGTTAAGATCATGCATCTGTTTATTACTTGAACGAAGTGATTAAGAATTTTGCTATGACCGAAGCAAAAGTTTTGTCACAATGTAAAGAATTATGAAATATCTGTGGTACAGCAAGTTTGTGAGTAAGCGAAATTATTTCGAAGAAAAAACCTACACAAATGTCAAATTTGTACACCAACAGCGGAACTTTCATGAAAATGTTTGATATCTGAATTTTTGAGCAGAAAGCCTCTTATTGTTTGCAGGGGTACATCTTTGATAGGAGTTTGAGGTAAAAAATAAGTTGTTGTTCTGTACAGTATCAAAAAAACGCAAACGCATTCTCACAGAGCAGACTTTTGCGTGCATCTTCACAAAGTACTGTGCTACCGTATTCATGATTCTACAGTATTCTTTCTTCTGCACAAAACGGGCGAAATGATAGGCAGTTGTGTTTCTTATGGATTCAACGTTACGGCCGGCCATAAACTAACATAAACAACTATATTATTCAAGTTTCGCGCTGCTCGAAATTCGCGAAAGTTCGCGAACACGAGTTCAGAAGCAGCTTAGTCGTTGCGCACATGATTCAGCGCTCGACTGAGCTCATTGTTTGAGCGGTTGTGAAACGACCGCAGTGATTTTTGCGGTGTCGCCTCTCGGTTTTGTTTGATCATCGACCGATATGATACGCAAATAGTGTGCGCATTGGAGAGCAAACGCATCGTCGTCGTCGTCGGCTTCCGTGTTCTTGGTGGGTGCTCGGAGCCGCTCCCGGGACGCCCCTATCATCAGCTGCTGTTGCACTTCTAATCGCTCGCTAATCTATCATCTGTATTTCTTAATCGATCATCGCCAACTGTGCTCGGCTACCAAAAACTCACAAGCCCCAATAGCACTCGCTCATCATGCGAACACAGTTTTTGCCCCTGCTCAATGATTCGTCGTCGTGGCTAACTGCACATGCGAACTTCAGGTGCTGCTCCACTGCCGCCGTCAGCGACGATGGACGAAATCGACGACGCACAGGCGATGGACGCCTGCCCCATCGACCTGTCCACCAAGAAGCTCGACCAGGCCCTATTTGGCGAGCAACGCACGCGACTACTCGAATCGCTTGCCAGTCTCACCACTCCGCAGAACGTAAGCGAGGATTTCACTCCGCGCTACAGAATACTTACCGTTACTGTTACAGATTCTGTCGCTATGCGCCCAACTAGCCGCCAATCGCGACATTCCGCGATCCGCACAGTCGGAGGCGTCCGCCGCCCCTATGGAGACGTCGGCTCCTCCAGCGCCTGCAGCCTCGCTCGAATGTGCTGCAACGGGTTGTGATCAGGTTTGTCGTTCAATAGTCTAGGCTAGTCAAGCGGATGAAGCTTTTCGAACACATGGGTCAGGAATAGTGGAAGGGAGAAAAGATTACCTGGTTTTTTGAAGCATGGTTAGAAAACGCAAAAGGAATAAGCACCACAACTCCAAAAGGCAAAATAATTCCTACGCGTTGAAGATTCTCTGCTAAATACGATTTTTGCTAGATCGCTTCAAATTATTATTTAAAATCAACACGTATAACCAAAGGTTTACAAGTTCTTGCTTCGAGTTAATCAAGCTTGAACTTTATTCAAACAAAGCTCACCTATTTTCGGCAAGGTATAAAGTCCAAATGTCTGTGAACCACATCGTCCTTGCATAAAAATGAAATCACACAGCTGAGAATGTATATCTGAACATTAAATTCTTTGATAATGCTGCAATCTTCGGAACATTTCTACTTGCTCCTGTTTTTGACTCGGTCACCCAGTTCAGCAGAAAAAATGCAGCGAAATCTTGTGCTGAGTTCTTGTTGGAATATGAGGTTCAAAAAAGACAAAATGCTTCAATTCTAGCCTGCAAACTCAGTACTTCAGTCCATTCTTTTTGAGCCCAAAGCGATTTTTACCTTTTCCATCCATGTGTTAAAAATCACGCCAACATGGCTCTGCAAGATTTGGGTAAAGACGAGTTTTCTGAAAAAAGATGTCTAGTTTTGATGTTACCGCGAAAAAGAATTTTTATTCTTCTTTAGCTGTTTTGATCGCAAGTTATGGCTGAATTTTGGCCTAGTGATCAAATTTTTGAATCTAACGTTGCAACATAGCATGTTCCCACCGTGCAAATTTCTGCAGATTCATCTCGGATTTCAGCTGTAGTAGATTCTATGGGAAATCAAGAGACCAAATTTGTTTGCTATCGGACTAAGACTATATTTCTGAAGACACTGGATTGGCTAAAAAATGATTTTGTTTTGGCATGAATCTCTTCGTAAAAACTTACCTAGTTGTCATTATCCATGATTTTGTAGGTAAGTAGTTCAGAACTTTTTCTACCACATATTGACCATCAAGGATTTCAAATTATCAGCAAGAGACAGTTATGCCCCAGCATGTCTAAAATTCCAAAAGCTTAATTCTGCGACTTTCTAAACTTCGTTTTCACGCTCTAAGGGATGTGGAGAATAGAAATTGGTATTTGTACAGACAAGTTAACCCTACTTAGCAACTGTAAATGAAAAAATCAGATCTGTCATTTTAAAATTCTTTGACCGAAAAAACCAAATTTTCTCATATTTGCAATGAGGAAATTAGCATTTCGCCAACCTAATACAAATATATACGTATACACGTTGGAACTGCTCAGACATTGACCAAAAAGGGCTTTCCGTCCTTGCGAATGTCTGGCAATTAGGGGAGCTGCTCAAATCGCTGCACTTTCAGCACGTCGCGCTCGGCCGTGCTGCTGTTGCGATTTGTGATTTTTGTCGAGATGATAGTGTTGGTTTTTCAGCGTTTCGCTCGCTCCTCGCCGCGAGTTATGGGCGTCGTTCAGGTCGTCGCGACTGTTCAATAGAAAAGCAATAAAGCAATTCGCATTATGGGACGACGGCCACAAGATCGAAACAACCGCCGCCGCCACCGTCGCGCCGCTGTGCACAAAGAAATAGGGGGCAGAGAGAAAAATATAATGTGCGGATAAAGGTCGAAACGATTTTCGACGGGGTCAGAGACCGAATCGACGGACTCGAGGCATGACTTTACGACGTTACATCGATGATAAAAACAATTTGATGGCTTAGACCTTGCCCTTGGATTTGAAAGGCGAGATTTCAATCAGCTGCGGATGAAGTCATTTCGAACGCAACTCCAGCTGCGCAAAAAAATTTATTATACCAAAATCAGACAATTCAGCTATCTAAAATCTTTATTGAGTGTCTGAGTAGCTTTGGTAAAGTTGCAGGAGCTACTGTATGCGGTCACACATTGCAGTCGAAACATTAAAGTAATGGGGGAATAACTACATTTTTAATTTGGGACTTTGTTTAGCATACGATGAACTAAAAGCACACCGATTAAGAGTTTTTGACTCCACGAGGGACAAGTAGATCTATCAAACTTTCTTCACAATTCCTCGTATCATTTGTATCTTAGCATGTGAATATGCAGACTACGCGCGGCAACCGACGATTACTTACTCTTATCTCCTCGGTAAAGCTTCTTCTAGCAGCAAAATGTAGAGATGTTTAATATCAACATACTCAGTCAGACAGAAGAGACAAGGAAGTAAGAAGAAATACTGGGGGGGGGGTTACCGAGCAGGTCTCAATACATGAAAAAAATCGAATACTGAGCAGGTCTTAATCTTACAATTCATCATGTAGCGCGCATGGTGTCAAAATGCATATTTACAAGGGGCTCGACGGTTTCGATGTTACCTTCGCGGTCCTTACTCAGCTTCTTAGACAGAGATATGGAAAAGAATTGAAAGAATCAAACAAGCTTAATCAAGGTGATGGAGGATTAACAATAACCTTGCAATTGCCCATCAAATCCAGACTTGCAGCGCGTGAAGAGTTTTTGCGAAGGAGTATCGTTATGTCTGTTTTTAGTGCCCAATTCTGATGATTTAAAGCACATCGTTCGGTAACATTTGATTCATTTGCAAAAGACATCCGCATCCCCAAAAAATTTTACGTTTCTGAACTTTTATGATTCGTAACGCAAGTTCTTTTTACGCTTGTGCAAAAGCAGATTCACGAGTTTTAGTGGAAAGATTGAAGGGGCATGGGAGAGAAACTAAAAATGATGACAAAATGATTATTTCCTGGATAAACTGAGGAGAACGTCATTTTCAGAAATTTCCATCGCGTGGGGCGCTCCTATGGCACGTTATGGAAAAGCATTCAAACGAAAAACTACTTCGTTGTACACAATGCGGGATTCGCTTCGGCGATCGGGACCAGGTAATCTGCAGGATTTTCAGGCCGCTCTTCATCTGCACTGTTCTTTCCAGATCCGAGAACACGACTGTTCAACGTCGCTCCCTCGAGCATCTTCAGCCGGATGTAGCAGTTCACGCACCTCCAGTCCTGATGCAGATCGTGGCTCGGTGCCAGCTGAAGCGGGTCCGTCATTCACCCTTGTCGAGAAAACCCGCACGCCACCTCCCCCGCCGGCCATCTTTGGTCAATTTTTTCCGCAACGACCGCCTGGATTTATGAACTCGGCGCCACCGTCGGGCTTGTTTCCATTGCCAATGCCACCGCATTTTGCTATGCATAATGCCCCACCTCCTCCATGTAAGAGTTTTCGGGTTACTGTAAGCATACACATTGAAAATCATTTCTTACAGTCTTTATGCGATCCCCGTTTGAAGCACGTCCTGATTTTTTTGGGCCACGCCCAGAAGTGAGCAATGAAGATGACTGGGAAGCGTTGATGGAGGTTAGAAAAAATTACGATGCATTCTTGAATTGACATTATGTCGACTATTTCCAGATCTCAACTAGTGATGAAGCGGAGAAAATCCGAGCACTTGTAGGCGATAAGGCTATGCCAACAACGGATCCTAATCAGTGCATACTCTGCCGACGAGTACTTTCGTGCAAGAGCGCACTCCAAATGCATTACCGTACGCATACCGGTTCGTTTATATGGTTATTAGTCCGCTTAAAAGTGCAAGTGTGACGTAGAGACTTTCCTGTACTCGCCATAGCAAATGTTTCGGATGTTTCTATAAAAAGAACATCTAGATATTGAGTTACCTTTCCAGGAGAACGCCCATTCAAGTGCAAAATTTGTCAACGTGCATTTACGACGAAAGGAAATCTCAAAACACATATGGGTGTGCATCGAGCAAAGCATTCTTTCCGGGGTGTCCCAATAGGTCTGGGAGGTCCTATGGGTAACCCATTAGGCGCTCCACTTGGTATGAACGGATTTCCACCAGGATTACAGCCGACGCAACAGTGTCCCATATGTCAGAAGAGGTATGCAAGGCTACCGTAATCCGGTGGACAAGAAAAACTGTGAATTTAGGACGATTCCAAAATTTCAGGTTTATGTCTGGAGCTCAACTACAAAATCACATTTCGGAGCACACACAGGCTCTTACTGGTAGGCATCTCACCCCTGCTTCGCCCTCTACACCCAAGCTGGTCCCTCAAGGACGGTATGAGCGACGCTTGAATTTACATAAACAAATACCATTAGATATCTCTTCTAGACCATTCGCCCCTCCTTTCTCGCCTCTGTTTCCATTCTTCAATCCCGGGATTACGGGTGATGCTCCCGCACCATTCAACCTTGCCCAACTACTTGGTAACCAATTAGAACAAAAACCAGAGGAGGATGAGCCGAAACAAGAGACAAAAGAGGAGCCAAAGTACTTCAATTCCTATGTCTAATATAAGAATGAATTGGTAAGATTGCGAAATATTTCAGACCAGAGCCCAACCTAAAGTTGTCTACCAGCACAAGTCTTGAGCTGCCAAAAGCCGATCCTCCCTCGCTTTCCCCGTCAGGGAGCAGTGAAGCGTCAGCATCTACGGAGCAGAATCATGAACAGTATGTGTATAATTTTGTGTATCACTTTTAAGTAAAAGAAAATTAATCAGAATCTCTAAAAGCTCACATAAATCCAAAATTTTTAATAGTTTTTGCGCCTACGAATGCTATTTCTGAGGCTGTGGAAGAAGAATCAAATTTTCAGAAAAACACCCGAAATAAAAAATTAGTTTTATTCTGATTTCCTGATTTCAGTACCGATGGATCCTCGATAAGCAGATCTGGAGAATCTGACGCTGATGAACGCAAGTCCCACCAGCAGTCGGAAAATTCTTCGGTCACTGCAGCAGAACGACCTGTAAGTGGAACAAATCTCGGAAGCTGAAAATTAGTTCAATTTTTCTATTTAGGTAGCACCAAGTACTCCATCGCAACCAGTGGAAAATCCTTTGGAGGCGATGCAAAAAATGTGGGCAGAAACTGAGCCACCACCACCGCGACAGGTAAATTGAATTTTTTTGCTATAATAATACTAGAAGGATGCACCGTTTTTGTTGAAAATCCGAGCATTCTTTTAGATTTTGTTTTATAAACTGCATCATTTAGCTCCCTGTTCTCTCCAAACATCAATGTGCAGTTTGCTTCAAGCACTTCAGCTCCAGTTCAGCTTTGCAGATTCATATGAGGACACATACAGGTAGGTCATCCTTTGAAGGCAATAGCCCCTATATAATCAAATCACTCTATTCTAGGCGACAAACCCTTCAAATGTGAGATGTGCGGTCGTGCATTCACCACTCGTGGTAATCTGAAGGTCCACATGGGAACTCATATGTGGCAACAGAGCCCTAGCAGGCGTGGTAGGTCACCACTCATTTTTGGCTTACCAGACTTGCATATAATTTTCCAGAACTTACAGGTCGTCGAATATTCGATGCCGGTGTGGGTGGAGAAGAAGCTGGACCTCGACCAGTTTCTTTACCCGGTGGCGGAGCCCTTCCTATGCCTCCACCTCTTGCTTTATTCGCTCCAGGTGCAGTGCCTAATATGGAAATGATGATGATGCTTTGGCGAACAGTTTGCTCTGTTTGTCAAAAGGTAAGACAACACTGCTTTCGCAAGAGGAGTTCACGGTATGATAGGGGGTGGATCCAGAAAAATTTTGCTCCACTCTACTGTATGATTATTGAAGAAAAACTCAGCTGTAAAATTTTTGAGAAGGTAACTTTTTACTGTGGCATTTCATGCCAGAACGCTATTATAACATCAGGGCTCGGCCCAGCTGGCGCAGGGTCGAGCTGGATTTCGTTTTTGGGACAAAAAGCAAAGGAGATATCGTTTTGTGGCAGAAAAGACGAAAATTGCGACGTTTTTCTTAGTTTTTTCGTTTTTTTGAGGAGTTTTTTACGTTTGGGGTTTAAGGGTAAAAAGGACTTCGTAGAATTTCGGGAAAGTCAAGGGTGACTTCATTTTGAAATTTCACTGGAGCCTGCTCCTGCCGAGCCGTGTATAACACTCTTCCAAACATACACATAAATGGAGATTGTAAAGTTACCGTCGCTCCATCATTTAGAGAAATAGTCCTTGAGAATATTTGAACCTATTATAATGGTTACCTTGTCATGCTTAGTACAAGTCCGCATAACCTTGACCGTAAGCCATTAACTGCAGGATTACTGTGGATGAAGTACATAAAGACCATAGTTTAACCGTACAAAAAAAGACAAGAAAAACTTTACGCATTGATTGAGATTTATTTGCGAGTCAAATAGCTCATTATACAGACATTAAAATGTTTCGAACGACATTTTCTTGACCCAAATCACCTTGTGTAACAACCTTCATACCGTAATCTCATATCGACGAGTAAATCATTAGTGGTATCGTAAGCCAAAAACTTTCGCAACAAGTCATGGATCTGAATAAGAGAAGGTCGGAAGAGGTTGCACTTGTTTGGAAGATCAAGACCATGATTTTTGCGATTGAGTCATATATATTTATTTAACATATTTCCAAATTTTTGCGAAATGTAAGACTAATAAGTAGTGTAAGTGTTGTTCTAACATATTTTTTGTTCTCTTAACTCTGGTGAAATTTTATAGGTGTGCGCCTCTCCCAGTGAACTGGAACAACATCTGAAGGATCACCTGAACGGTTCACTTTCGAATAGGGAAAATACCACACCGCAAACAATATCATCCGACTAGATGTGATCTTTGTTTTTTTGTGCAACTTTCGCAATTTCACTCTTTCTCACTAATTTATTACTTTCCGGCCTTCGCACCGAGCAATAGCCCCCCTTCGTAGTCGACGCGCGCGCTCCCGGTTATACCCCAGCGTCCTCTTCTTGTCTTCAACTATTCTTTAACTATCCCTCCCGGTTTCTATGGTCTCTTCGCTGTCCCGTTGTACTGATGCAGTTACTTGACTTCTTGTCTTTGCGAATCTCTATCTGGATAATAATGGTGTCTGAAACATGTGCTGATCAAGTATTAAACCCATAGTTTTATGATCTTCTTTGTGTTTTTCTCTGTGTTATGTGTATTTCTCAGTGTGATTTTATCGCTGATTGCAGTCGTTGTTTGATGAAGGTGCAGCACCCAGCTCTCCCATACAATCCCGAATCTTGCTTGCATGATCTGACAACACATACCCATCTACTAACAGCTTTCCAACCCGTAAGCCTTCCCCGCGCGGAGGGCGCATTCCTCCCGTCGTTCGCTCCTCATACTGATTCTTCCGCCAAGCTTTGTGCAAATGTTCCACATGCATTTTGATCGTTATTTGAATGTTTCTTTGTTATATGTGATATAAATTTGCTATGCTGCTGCCGTTTTAAATTCTGCTGGAAACCCCAGACTATGATCATCAGCAATTTGACAGTTAGCAAGATTATTCCAGAACTGGCTGGCATGCCTGGCTTCGCACGCACCGTGCTTTTAATTGGCTCAACAAAATGCAAAATTGGTGCGCAACTCTAAAGGTTCAACTTATTTCGCGTTCCGGTTCTTCTATCTCTCCTGTAAAGCAGCGCTGATATCTTCTAAACCACACCGCTTTGAATCACCGCCCCTCCTCATCGCGGAATAAAAATGAGTTCTACCGCTGTAGTAGACACGAAAGTTTGATATTGATTGGTTAGAACTCATTCTCTTTCGGTATCGATAAATCAATAGAAGGATTAGCAATTTTGCTGTGAAAGGTAGCCCACGGGGTGGATTGGTGCCGAAAATATATGTGTGCAAAGTTTGGCGCTGATTGGTCTACAAAAAATTTCTGTAACTCGGACACTAGTGAGCAATTTCCCTACACTCAGTTTTTATACGTAGATGAGACAAAATGCAAGACATTCACGTAGTTCAGACGGGACTGCTTGCAGTTGCTATGCAGGGACTGCTCGCAGTCGCGTCCAAATAAGAGAGTACTCCTTTGAAGAGGCAGCAGACGGGAAGAGAGGTGATAGTGTGCCTGATCCGAGAGACACCAACAGCGTCATCTGCAGGGCCTTGTTTCTATTTCTCGTCCATAGGTATGCCAAAATCACAAAAAAAACTTTGATTTTGAAGGAAGATACGAATTCCTTTGGACGTATCTGTAAAAGACAAGTTGTTGTATCCTCATTCCAACTCAACTTGTGTAATTGCTCTATCTTTTGAATTTGGATGGGCAAGAGGTTCAAAAACTTCGAGATCTTTTCCTACTAAGTCGTCTTCCTGTCACTTTTCCGGGATTCATACTAGTCGGGTAATTTCTGCTACACTTGTGGACAGGGTCTCAATAGGCCTCCTCATTGGTGCCGTTGCATCTGCGGTCCATGTGCAAAACACCACTTTGTGGTGGCTGGAAATTTGTTTGGTTTACCTGTCACTTACACATTTTTATAACCCACATAAGTAACTTTCAAAAATTTCGCGACCCATTCTCGGGGGGGGGGGGCGCCCCCCCCCCCCGCCCCCCCCTCGGTACGCCACTGATGTCTATACACGTTTATGTGAGTTGTTCATGTTAGTATGCGCCATCTTTGCAATCATTGGCAATCTAACAAAGAAAACGTTTTCAGAAAATTCAAAAATTATTTTTAATTTTTTCTGTATTCTTTTCTACACGATGCACATGAAAAGAAAAAAATTAGGGAAATTGAATTTGATATTTTTTCACCTCTCGTTTCTAAAAAGCTAGAGGCACCGGAGTGCCCGACGTGAGAGATAGTGCCAAAATACACTTTAAAAAATTATAGAAGAGAAGCACAAGTAAGTGCAGAGAAAAAATCAGAGAAAATTTGTAAGGTTTGAGCATGTTCACAAAACTGACGTAAACTCGTTGTACATTTGCGGTATCGAATATGCTTTGGGTAAAACCTGTTATGTCTTGAGTGTGTCATGGGGTTTTCAGGAGGCTTGTGGAAATTTCCAGAAGCAATACAAAAAAGTGTAACAGAAATCATCCGCCAAATTAATAGATTCCTTAATCATGATAGTGGCTCTAGATCCACTCCACAGCAGAAATGGTGCGACTACACAAAGCGACTATTGGGATGAGGACGTCCGTAGCTTTGTCTTGTTAGTTTGGTAACGATTTAAAGTGATCTCGATGAGGGTTTTTCTGGAAAGCAGGTTTGCCTCATTTTAACCAGTGCCTCTGCCTCGCAGGGGTTCGCACTTGCTCTCCTACCATGCATTCTCATGTTCTTCTAATAACGCCTTCAAAACCTACCCTCGACCACCATGGGTGAATTGTGAACAACTATTCATCCATTCCTGAAGCTTCTCTATATGAGATCGGTAACTTTGAGAGGTAAAAGCTCTTCTACAGAAGAATGCAAGTTTGCCTGAGTTACCATGTCTATTTTGGCCGATAGTCGCCTTAAGGACAATGGGAACCTTGGGCTACATCTCTGAACAAACTTGACACATTGACGGTCTACGCAATCATCTATATATATATATAAAACTCAAAAATTGTCAGTTTGGAGGGTATGTGCGTTATAGAAACGCGCGCCGCTCAACCGATTCAGCTGAAACTTTGCACACACATGTTTTCGACCCTTGCGCAAATGATAGGCTACTTTTTTGGCGATTCGTTGGGTCCTTCTATCGATTTATTGATTTGTTTACATTTTCCTAAGGAACTGAAAGTTTATCATGTACAGTCAAGCATTTTCCATACTCCTGTAAAGGAGGGCGGTGAAGCTCATTTTCACCTCAGGATCACGAGGATGCGGTTTCCAAGCGGATGTCCCAGGGTAAGTCACCCGCACCATATGGGCGGGGGTGGAGGGGGGGGGGGGGGCTCGCAGTGCGGTGAACCATGGCCCGGGCTGGACCGGGAAAGCCAACTAGTTCTTTTTAAGGACGATATTGCCATGCAATAGACTTCCTTGATCTCTGTTGGGCTAAAATGCGTGGCTTGAAAATCCACTTGTCAAACAAATCCATAGCGCTGCAAAATGGTTATTACCGACCCAGTTCTGCAGGCCAAAAGCAGCGTGGATCCGTAAGACATGCAATTTTAAAAGTACCCGCTAATCGGATAAGCTCGTCCTTGTTATAGCGAATCAACATGCTGGTGGCATGCTCTATGCAAAAATTTGCCCCGTGAACATGGCTGCAACTCGCTCTACGAATTTCGTGTCAGATAAGTTTTCCAAACAGACATATAGACAAACGGTCTCGGTGTATTATAGTAGGATCATCGAGCAACAATCAAAATTGATTTATTGGCAAGTATTCGCTCGAAAAGTTCAAAGCTTTCAAGTAAAAATATTTTTCAAGAACTGATGGTTTTCAACGTGAGTAATCAACGCGGACTGCTCCCGGTTCGTAAGAAGTTTTCCTGGAAGCGAAAGAATCAGATCGTATAACAAATCTGTGAAAATATAACGAATGAACAGACCTTCTTTTGCGACATGAATCTCCGTTCTTGTTGAGCTATCACTTCTTTATGGATCTTATGATGTACAGTTACAACATCTTCGTCTGTCTGTAACGAAGAAATGAGTCACAAAGTTTATGCAAGTACAAGTCTAACCTTGAGGAAGCCAAACAAATGTATCGCCACTGAGGCTATAACGAAAATCACGAAATAGGCGAGTTCGAATACTACAAACCAAAATGGTTGGATACCAGAATCCTCTGGAACGATTTTGAGGCGGACTTGTGCATCAAGTCGGAGCATCACTCAGCAACCTACCCCCGCTAGAGGAGGATTCAGACATCGACCGCCTGTGTGAGTAGCACGAGTGCGAAGAAGCAAACTGCAGTGACGGAGGACTTTATGAAGACAGTCTGTCTATGATAATGAAGATAATTCTTACTTTCTTTATATGGCCATTCCGTTCATTTCTGTAAGTTTGGCTGTCGATGTAGGACACTATCTGTGTTGGCAGATCAGACTTGACTTGCACATGTGGTCTTTTCAATTATTTGGAGGTGTTGAAAAGCTCACGTGTAGGCAGTTTTGGACAGCAACAAGCCTTACAACATAAGGCAAATAGTTTTGATAAAACGTGACAATCATAGCCTCAATTCTTATTGTCAGACCGCCCCAAATTTCAAACAGCTTTGTCAATCAAATTGACAAAATTATCTCCAAATCGTTTATATGCATATGACTATACCTCTGTCGGCACAATGTATCAGTATGGAACCAACGGAACATGATCATAGAAGTTTCTCTTTGCCATACTCTGCAAGGAAACTTTGCAGCACTACGAAGCTGAAAATAAGAAAAGGGGAAGTACCCCGACATCTTACACGGAGCCTAGTAAACTCCTTTGTAAATGACATCGAATAATGAGAATCTCACTTCTTTTCCTGAATCCAGCGAAAATACTTGCAGTATTCATCCATTTCTGAGTAGAATCTATATTCTTTGAGCATTGGCGCTTTATTCAATTGTGGCATTATTATAACAAACGGTTGATAAATGGTTGAGCTGAAAACAGTTGAGAGTAAAGATGCAGTAAAGCAGCAAATGTTATGGACACATTTTTTGAGAACGATACGATTACAGCTCTTATGCATACATTTGGAATGTGTAGAATCCCTATTATGCAATTTAGGCTATTATTTGGGACAGCTGCTTACACATGTCTAGATTATAACCTGTTGTGTTTCAGAAACAGTTTCTTTTACCGTAGAAAATTGAGGTGTTAACTTTTGTTGAAAACGGGGATAATACTGCAACTACGAAGTTCCTCTCATTGCTGCAGATTTATATGTGGTAAACTTTGATAGTGTAAGATACTGCCGGACGAAAGCGGCAGTGGCTCAAACGCAATTTTTTTAACCGCAGAGAAGAGCCAAGTTTGCAACGGTGAATATTAGGACCAAGCATGGGGTGTAGCAAGTCACGTTGGGCGGTCGTACTGAGGAGGGGGTTGTAGTGGAGGTGATAGTGATGCCAGCGATATTATGGTGTTTGCTAACCATGATGTCAGATAAGCCCATTATGAAGAGTAAAAGAGCATTGAAATACTAGACCTATCATGGCGTACGAACAGTAACTGCATGAGGAAACCCTACAAAACAAGATGAGTATCATTTTGTAATTAGCATGTCAAATAACTCCTGTGGACCCAGTTTTAGAGATTTCCGAGGTTTCCAAATATTGGGCCTCTAATTGAATGGTTAGCTTGAAGGCAGTATCTCGACAGAATTTCGTCTCCAGACTTTCACCTTTCCGAAGCCTTCTCGTCATAAGGATCCCACATCTGGTCTTTTTAGTGCATGAAAATGGCGAAAATAAGCTTTTTGCGAAGGTTTCCAGGTCTGCATTCTCTAGAGATTACGTGTAAATAAGTGAACGGGCTTTCTAGGTCTGCATTCTGTGGAGATTACGTGTAAATAAGTGAACGGGTGTGGAAAGCTCTCGGCGTATGTTCACTGAGTGCGGACCAGTAAAGCTTCGGAAAAAGCTCATACGGCATTTTCATGCGCTGAAAGGCCCAGATAGGGTACAATACCGCTCATAATTCGTCAAAAAAGTCGCCGGACTGCGGCGGAGTGCGCTAGAGTGCGTCGGAGTGTGGCGGAGTGTGGCGCAGTGCGCCGGAGTGCGTTGGAGTGTGGCGGACTGCGGCGGAGTGCGCTAGAGTGCGTCGGAGTGTGGCGGAGTGCGGCGGAGTGCGCCGCACTCCGGCGACTTTTTTGACGAATTATGATCGGTATTGTATATGGAGTGAGTGGAAGGAAATACACATACAATACCGCTCACAGAATGTGCAAAATTTCCGTAAATGTCGCGAAATTCCGAAAATGTCGCGAAATTCCGAAAATTCCGCGAACTTTCCGGAATTTCGCGAAGTTTCGCGAAATTCCAGGAATTTCGCGGAATTTTGGGAATTTCGCGGTATTCACGGAAATTTTGCATACTTTGTGAGCGGTATTGTATAGTAATATCATAAGTGGGCGGGGCTTACACTTTACAGCTAAAAAGCGAAAAATCGATATTTTGGAGGTTGATGAACCACCAAATCCTCAAAAATAGATAGAATCGGTCTTCTGAGGGCTGTAAAATCCCGAAAATCGACAAAAATCGATAAAATCGATATCCTGGAGGTTTCGAAATACCGAAAATTGACAAAAAATCGAGAAAATCGATATTTTGAAGGTTGCGAAATCCCAGAAATTGACGAAAATCGATATCCCAAAAATCGGCAAAATTGATAAAATCGATATTTTGAAGGTTGCAAAATCCCGAAAATTGACAAAAATTGATAAAATCGATATTCTGAAGGTTTCGAGATTTCGGAAATCGGTAAAATTATCGAAAAACTAAGCGAAAAATTCGAAAAACTCCATAATAAGCTCATTTCCACTGCTTTTATACAGCTGAATCTCCTCCAAGCAAGCTCCGCTTACTTTATACCCCCACATCACGATCGAAATTGATGAAAATAAGAAAAATTAAGAAAAAATAAGGAAAAATAAGCGAAAATCGCGTTTTTCAGCTTATTTACCCCTTTCTAGCCGGTTTCAGCCCCCTAACCAGGTCCAGATGGCCGCGGGTAACTATCACACGCGCTGCACAAATAAAGAGAGGGGGAAAAATGAGGGGGGAGAAAGAGGAGAAATTGCGAGACCCTGAACTAAAAAACAAGTCCGGGAAGGTTTATAGATAGGCTCCCACAGGCGGAGCCCCTACATTTTCTCCGAATTATATGTGGTGCCCCCCTCGAATACAAACTGAAGAATGGCTATCCCAGCCCGTCATCCCTAGTCTCCACGGAGATAAAATTCAAAATATGCATTATCGCCGTTATATAGCGCCTCCTACAGGGAATCTCTAGGCACAAGCTACCCCCAGAAAAATAGAGCTACAAAAACTACATGTCAATGGCCACATGAAATTACCCCAGCCCTGCAACTCGTAAAGATATAAGGCGCCGAAGTTGCCCTTGTTGACAGATTTCCCATGTTCGGCTGTCAATTAGGCACTTTTAATGGAAATTTGTTATTCTACGACCTTCTCTCTAAAAATCATATTTTCAGAGATCTGTCGAATAAAACAAACCCCAGCCCCGTAGCTGTAATATTCGCAGAGTTATTAGCCCTCCAACATGCATGCTCAGGACGTAAAATCGGCTCTCCCAAAGTTGCCCCGTAATTCCCCCAAAAATCACGTTAGACACCTGTTTCATACTTATACATTACATATTTTTTCCAGCTTCTTAGAAGCAATACACATTGATATAGCGCGATCGCTCCTCACTCTTGGCCTCGGCGCAAAATTTGGTCAAAATATTGAGGTTTTCGGATTGACCGCAAACTTCACTCATAGTGCTTCTTGGTCCCGATCTTTACGAAAATCCTATTCATTTTGCACTAGAGAGTCTTACAGTAAAGCTAAAGTGAGATAGAAGTAGCTGAACCAATCAAGATCGCAACTTCGCCTGCACTTTTCCCCTACCTGTTGCGGAAATTGTCTGCAAATTTTTGTGAGTTGAAAACTTTGTGAACACCTCTATCGGACCATGCTTAGCACAGATCTTTATTTGAATTGTTCGTCAGATTATGATGTTACAAAATCGCCTTCTCATGAATTCTTTTTCAAATTCGAAAGTCGTGTAATTTGGCAGATATTCTATCCTACAATGTGCCACCAGCAGCAAAACAATGTAAGAAATGTTGTTAGCACGTCGAGTACAATACCGCTCACAGAATGTGCAAAATTTCTCTGAATATCGCAAAATTCCGAAAATTCCGCGAAATTCCCGGAATTTCGCGAAACGTCGCGAACTTTCAGGAGTTTCGCGAATTTCCGGAAAGTTCGCGGAATTTTCGGAATTTCGCGACATTCACGGAAATTTTGCAAGTTATGTGAATGGTATTGTAGAATGCAAGAAGATGCCCAACGATTGTTACAAGAGCGCAACGATACCAGTGTGGAAGAACAAGGGGGATATAACAGACTGCTCTACATACAATACCGCTCAAAATTCGTCAAAAAAGTCGCCGGACTGCGGCGGAGTGCGCTAGAGTGCGTCGGAGTGTGGCGGAGTGTGGCGCAGTGCGCCGGAGTGCGTTGGAGTGTGGCGGACTGCGGCGGAGTGCGCTAGAGTGCGTCGGAGTGTGGCGGAGTGCGGCGGAGTGCGGCGGAGTGCGCCGCACTCCGGCGACTTTTTTGACGAATTATGATCGGTATTGTACCTCATGGCGAGAAGGCTCCGAAAAGGTGAAATTATAAGAACGGAATTATGCTGAGACACTGCCTTTGACCAAAAAATGTGATGGGCTTATGTGAAAAACAGGTACATCGAAAGTCAATGGGGTATGAGTGTTGATAACGGTTTTTCAAACAGAAAAATCTTCGTCATTGCAGATTGGTAAAACATGTCAGAAGACTTATCATTTACAGGGTGCCCCAAAATTCTTTGCACACTTTTCTCAGCTAGAAATTGAGCAAGCAACATAGACGATATTATGATTATCTCTTAGTGACACAGATAAAAACAACAAGGTAAGCTGAAGACTCGCATTATCCTTTAAGTTTCTCGAAGAAGTCCCGCAGAACCTTAAAGAACCCACCGACAGCGACAGACCAGTAGTTGACGTAAAGATTGTGATATATCTTCCAAATTTCAGTAGAGGACAGTGCTGCTTCTTCACAGGACTGATCACAGAAGATTCAAGGAGGTCAGAACTCTGAAAACACGCTGCCCTAGGGGTTAGAACTCTAAGGTTTTGCAGAATGGTCGCAATGTAGCAAACGTTTTTCCTCAATCCAGAGCACTGTTT